TGGAATGGTTTGGCACTTCATTCTTCAGCTCATTTTACAGATGAGGAAACTGAGGCAAACAGAGTTAAGTAACTTGCCCAGGGTCACACAGCCAATAAGTGTCTGAAGCTGGATTTGAACTCTGGTCTTCCTGATTCCAGGTCTGGCACTCTGTCCACTGAGCCACCTAGCTGACTCTTTGTGATAGTCAAAAATAATTAGACTGACTGCCAGGCCTGGGTATAACTCAGTAAGCAGTTTGGAATCCTGCATTCCAGCATTAGACCAGGCTAGTCAGCTTCTGAGAGAGAATCTCCTGAGGAAGGGGAAGGAAGGAGAGAGATTCTCTCTTTTCTTCTTCCCCTCCTCACTGCTCCTCATCCCCCAATGGAACTAGAGGAGTTTTGGAATATCCACCAGCCCTTACTGAGGTCTCATTACCTTCCAGGGGTTGGTAGTTCTGTCCTGAGCAGCATGTCAGCCACTTGATAATGAAGGCGTTGTGATTTCCCGGCATTGCACCCATCTCACCTCAAACTTCTAGCCTCAGAGAGCTGCTTGAATCACCCAGTTGGGAAACACCCATTCCTGTGTTTGAGTTCAGGGTTCCTTCACCTGTGGCCTCCCTCCCCTCTGACATCTCATCATAACTTTGACTTGCCCCTGGGTCCTCACAGGCAGTACCAGGGGAGGGCAGGCTGCTTCCACCAAGTAAGAAAGGTTTCAAATGTTCCTGCAGGAGATGGTAAACTTCTTGAGGGCAGACTCTAGCTCATTTTGTCTTTCTATTCCTAGAGCTCCACAGAATGCCTCCTACAGAGAAAGTGCTTTATAAATGTTTGCTGAATTGAATCAAATAAAGTCCTGTTGACCGATTTTATCCTCCCTCCCAGGACCAGCTGAGTCAGCTAAACTGGAGAAACTGGCCCCAGATTAACTGTAGGGTTGTAATTATGTGCCTTCAGGAGGACTGCCTTCTAAGGCACTGAGGGTTAGTGGAGGGATGGGATTCTCCTCCCCCCACCCTCCCAGCTTCTCGTGTTCCTCCCCTCAACTTATCATGGATTTATTTGGCATATACTTATATGTATACATGTACACATGGCATGTATAATTATAGATGCCCACATGTATGTAGGTGTATAGGCAGTGTCTACTTGTATATGCCTTGTGTACATGTAAAATGCCACATATGCCCATGCATGCATGTATGTGTGTATATATGACATATACATTGATATACACCTTCATGTCTATATGTGTATGCATAGATGACATACTGATATGTCTTCATGTGTATATATGTACACACAGTTATGTTCCATATATACCTATGCATGTTCGTATGTATAACTATATAATATCATATACACTTATGTGTATCTGCATGTCTCTATGCGTATTTATCTAATGTTATATATACTCACACATGTCTATGTGTATATATGTATATAATGAGATATTTACTGATATATGTTCATATATGCATATGTATATGTGCTATATATACTCATATATGTCCATATATGTAACTGTCATATATACTTATGCACCCACATGTCTATATGTATGCATATATAATGTTATATGTAATATGTGTCTCTGTGTGTATATGTATATAAAATGTCATACACACTTATATATGTCCACAGCCTACATGTATATATGTCATATATGATTGTATCCATAGGTATATGTGTACAATGTGTGTTTACATGTAGACATGTGTCTACATGTGTGCCTGTATGTATGACATAGGTACTTGTATATGCCCTGGGTGTACATAAAATGTCATATGTATGCCCATGCATGTATATAAGTGTGTATATGACACATATACTGATATATTTCCATATCGATATGTATATGTATAGATGGCATATATACTGATATGTGTTCATGTGTGTGAGACAGACACACAGTATATATTTCATATGTACTATGTGTATAACTATATAATGTTGTATATACTTATTTGTCTGCATGTCCATATGCATGTCTATGTAATGTCGTATATACTCACACATGTTCATGTGTATATGTGTATGTATACAATTTTATATATATACTGATGTAGGTTCATATATGCATGCATATATGTGCCATATATACTTATATGTTTCTATATGTGTATATAATATCATATAAATTTATGTATCCCCAGCCTATACATATGTATATATGTCACATATGCTTATATATGTCTGTGTGTATCTATGTATATGTGTATATATATATAGTCACGTGTAGTTTTATATGACTTCACATCCATCTTCACAGCCTGCACCCCATCTTTACCTCTAACCAGAACCAAATGCCTACCCCCTGAAACCCTGGGCTTGAATCAATGAGTATTTGCCTTATTTTGCCTAGACCCTACTTCCTGGCAATCTTTGTACCATAGTACCTAGCTGCCCTTCAGTAATCAAATCAGTATCGCCATTCATGTAAAAGCACACAGCCAATTGCCATCAGTGACTCCCTTTGACCTCTCCAGCTACTGCTCTCCTACATGGATGTCTTCTCTGTTAGTATGTAAGCTCCTTGAGGGCAGGGAGTATCTTGCTTACATTTATTTCTATCCCTAGCACTTAGTATAGTGCCTGGCATATAGTGAGAACTTAGTAAATGCTTTTTAATTAATTAATCAATTGATTCATCTTGTGTCCCTGAGAAGAATGTAAGCTCTCTGAGGGTAAGTTTTATTTTGTTTTTGTCTCTTTATTCCTCAGCACCTAGCATACTTCTTGGCATATAGTAGACCTTGGTCAGTTTTGGTTGATTGACTGAACCTACACTGATGAAATCACATACTCTTGAATGATAGGATTATGGCATCCAAGCAAGAGACCAGTCAGGAGCAGGTGTTTATCAGCACAGTGACCCTGGGCAAATTTTAAGAGGCAGCTAGTAGTGCAGTGGATAGAGTGTTGAACTTGGAGTCAGGAAGACTGGGTTCAAATCCATCCTCAGACACTTAATAGCTGTGTGGCCCTGGGTAAGTCACTGTCTGCTTACCCCAGTTTCCTCATCTTTTAAATGGGGAAAATAATAAAAACACTTCTCAAGGTTGTTGTAGGAATTAAATGGGATAATATATGTAAAACACTTTGTAAAACCTAATACTTGCTAGCTATTATTATTATCATTTAACCTCACCAGGCCTCAGGTTTTTTTTTTCTCCTGTAATATAGAGATGATACCTATAGTAGTTACCAAGCAAATTGTTATAAGGCTCAGATTAGATAATATATGTAAAACGTTTTCCAAATTTTAATACAACATATAGATGGAGTTAGTTTGGAACACGGGAAAGAAAGAGGTCCCTGAATTCAAAGTAAGTCATTTGCCCTCCTTCCTTGTATTCCAGTTTCCTCGTCTGTAAAGTGGATTGGGGGTGGGTGGGTAGGGCAGAGGAGGTCTCTTCCAGCCCTAGAGCTGTGTCGTTATACCAATTATTAATAATACAACATTTATAATGTTTTTTTCTGTGTCCCAAGAGTTCTAAGTAGACCACTTAGAAATGAAGTTTTCGGTAAATAACCTGTCTGTAAGTTGGGACTGCCTGTATTGGGGATTTATTGTAAGCTTGATATAAAGTAAATAAGACCCTGGCTTAGTCTATAGGGGGATTGAGGATTTTTACAAATAGCAGCCCAGCCTTTATTTTTGTCTCCTATGTAGAAATTTGCTCCAAGACCACAAAGCCCTTTCTTTTGCTAGGCTGGTACCACAGCTAATACCTTGAAGGGGTTTTAAAAAATAAAAGAATTTTAAATCCCAAATTGACTTTTCAGCCCTCCTGAACAAAGACCATTTGGCTTTGATGGTTGAGTATGCTGGAGCAGCTGTAGTAGGCTCAACATGGGAGCTCCTCTGTGAGAAGAGTGCATTAGGACATGACAGCATTTACTTCCTTATAGCAACACCACTTGAGTTCTGGCCAACTGTCCCTACCTACCTTTGTGGCGTTATATGGAAACAGCACATTCTTTGAAATGAATTTGGATCTTGAAGTTAGAAGACCTTGGTTCAAGTCCTGAGTCTAATGTTTCCTAGCTTTGTGACCTTGAACAAATCACCATTTTTTTGAGGTTCATTTTCATTGTCTGCAAAATGAGAACAATAATGCTTGTATTACTTGTCAGACAGGTTTTTGGTTGATTCAGCCACTCAATTCACTTCAACAACTGAGCAACTATGATGTGCCAGGCACTTGGTACTGTGGATACAGAGATAAAATGAAAACAGCTCCTCCCCTCAAGAAATTTGCATTCTCTTGGGGTGGGGGTGGGAGATATATATGAAGAGAAATATATCAACCAATCAATCAATAAACATTTATTAGGTTCTTACTATCAAGCACTGTGCTAAGAGTAAAGACCAAAAAATAGTCCCTTTTTCTTCAGAGAGCTTATATTTGAATGGTGGGGATGACATAGAAATAAATAGGTTAGTACAAGATACATATAGATTAGGTGAAAGGTAACAGAGAAGAAGGCTCTACAAAAGTAACTACAAAATATATACAAAGTAAATACAAAGTAATTTACTTTGTAGAGAGGGCTGATATCTGGGTACAGCTATAACAATGTAGGAAAAAAGTTGACGACGTTATCCCACCCATACAGTATGACTAAGTTCCAGGGTAATTTGAATAGTCCTGACACTAGTTGCCACTGAGAAGGAAATAGAATCAGTCAAAAATACAGGTTTAACCAGAGGGACTTTTGCTGTGCTGGCTTGGTGTGGCTGTGGGTCTGACTCACAAAATGGCTCCATGGGGCCATATATCTAGACCTGCAAGGGACCTCAAAAGCCATTTATCCAACACCCTCATTTTATAGATGAGAAAAGAGGAAAGGGAAGTGACTTGCCCAGTGGCATATAGTACATACTTAAAAGACATCAGAAGTGGGATTTGGATTCAGGTCCTTTAACTATAGAACCATTAACATTTCTACTGTACCTAATCTACCTAGGAGCTGACTCACAAAAGAGCTGTAAGTACTTCCCTATGGGTCAAAAGTTACTTAGTAGCTTCAATTCAATGTAGCAGCAGGAAAGCAGCAAGCGGCAACTTCAAAGAAAGAAAGGTATTTAAACTGGGACAAAACCATAGGAGATGAGCTATCTAGGTTATGAGATAGTCCCCACTGTCATGGAAATCTATGGAAGACTCTAGCCTCTATCTATAGGAAGATTTTCCTTATATACCTTTTTATTCTGTTTATTTAAATACCTTTGCTTTGAGTTAGTGTGTACTTTGATTTGGTCTGGAAAAAGAAGAACAACAAGTGGGGCTTCTGAGATGTGCTTTTATTTTTCCATTTTCTTTCTTTAATCTTCACATATTCTTTGAATTTCTGAAATCAGTGCAAACCTGAGTGTATAAGAAAATATATTTATAAAGATCATTTACTAAATCTTAATCATTAATGCCAACAGAAATGTCATATCACTCTGATGATTGCTAATTTTTTAAGTAAATGTGTGGGATGTGACCTAAAAAAAAAAAACACTTAGAGGTATCTCAAGGTAGGAACAGAAAGTTTATTTCAGTTCTCGAGAATCTGGTGTTCCTTCACCAGTATGCTCTGATGAAGAGAGACAAAATACAGAAGCAAAAAGCCAGATTAAATAACCCTAACGGGGAAAATTCCCCCTCCCACCACTGACCAAATATTTGGCTTACAATATAAACACGAAAATCTACCTCCAGAGACAGGGAACAAAGAAACAACATACATATCCATCACCTTAGTTTGCTGCCAAAATGAAACATTTAAAATGTGCAATTAAGCTAGACGCTGTTGTGGCAAGGTCACCGTGACCTGAATGTAACAACAGAATTAGGCGGAGGAGGGGTTTCAGGCTTGACAAACTTTACTGATTTAGCACTGGGAGAAAGGGGGGGAACTATAGAAATCTATACTTATCCTATTTTATCTCCAAATTCAGGATAATCTTATCCCAAACCTTAATTACACTAAGAAGTCTTCATAGGGACACTCAATAGAGAAAATAAGTTTTAATGATTTAACCTTTCTCCCTTAGCATGTTAATTAAACTGTTTCTCTACATCACCATTTCTTAACAGTTTCTTGAGAACAGTTAAAGAAAACAGTTTATTTTAAACAAAAAGTTTATTTAAACAACAAGATGTTTGACTTGAAGGGAACACTAGCATCAATTTCTTTATAGTAATTTATCCCTACTAAGAGACTGAGATTGCCATATGTGTGACAGTTACATACAAAAAAAGTTATAAAATTGTCCTTGGTTTTACAATGATAAAAGAAAAAACATTGAAATTATCCAATCAAAGAAGATATGCAAAGGTTTTTTGTTTTTGTTTTTTTGTTTAACAGTGAGAGCAAAATAACTTACTGGAATATAAAGATAAAAGTTGAATGAGCATGCCAGTAATGGAAAAAAGGGATATTTTCACAGAACCAGTTTGTTTTTTCTACTCTCCATCTCCATTTGATGTTGATCTTGGCCATTTAGTTAAAAATAAATATCAATTATACCTGTGCACATACACCAGTTACTTTATGTATAATAAAGTAGTGGGGGAAGGGAATCAAAGAAGAGAGAAAACTATACTGCAGTAGTCAGGATGTGGGTGAACCAAATCTTGGTTTTCTAATTGTGAAAGTACTGTTTTTCTTGGGAGCACAGTTCTGGAGTAGAGTTGCAGTTTCTCTTTTTGGTAAATGCCTCTTGTCTGCTGCTGAAATACATCAACTGTACCTTTATCCTCCATTTCCAACAGTGTAGGTGTGTCTGTTTCCTTGATTGGCTGCCCATTAAATGGGAAACTGATCTGCCTCATTGACAAATCCAGTTGTTTACAATAGGCTTTTGTTAGTTTACTAAGCGGTGTGTGCCTCTTAATCTTAAATTGCACCACTGAACCATTTTATCCTAGTCTACCTTCAAATTAATATGTCCATTATTTTCAGTCTTGACTCCTTCCTTCTGCTTTTTGTCAGCTGTGGCAAATCTGGGGGTTTCCTCAATTGGTACTTCACGAAAGAGGCACCAGGATGGTCTGCTCCAAGGGAAGGGGGGGGAAGAAGCAGGAGCAGCTGGAGCAGGAGGAGGAGGAGGAGGAGGAGGAGGAGGAAGAAGAAATTGACTTATGCTTTTTGAAAACACACTGATTCAAAAGGTACTTTGAACCTGAGCCTAGCTTTTGTTTTTGGAGGTCTACATTGACATGCGGTTTCCTATCATTCACTTTTGTATCTTAGTTTTGTCTAACCCACTACATTTTAAGTTACACAAGGGCTGAAATCATGTCATATAAGCCCTTGGATCCCCCAAATAAAGGGCTACATTCAAAGCCAGTACTCAAACAATCTTTGTTCTTTGGTTGATCTGACTGATCAATGATGAAACAAGATACCCTTTGTGATGATGTATATGGCCTTTTATGTTTCCTCGTTTTAAATGGATGATGGGAATGGGGTGAGTGAGGGAGTGGAAGAGAGAGGAGTAGGAGAGTAGGAGACTGAAGAGGGGAGCAACATTTTCCAAGTAAGCATGAAGACTTCAGAGTCTCTCTCTGGTTCTTATATCCTAATAAAGTGATTGGTTGGTTTTGATGAGGAAATGATCAGTTCTCTTCTGTCCAAGGGTCAGGTGTAGGATGGCAGCTGAAAGATAAGAAGCATAACTTGATAGGGTGGCTGAGAGTCAGTAGAGACCTGGGTCCTAGCCCCTCTTTTTTCCTAGACTTCAATATCATGCCTCATCTGCAGCCTACTCTTAGACTGTTCATCAGTCCCTGTGTCCTCACTCTGAAATATTTTTCTTACTATCCCGGCTCTCTTCTTCCACTGGTGAATTTTTTCTGGGGCCTCCATTTTGGGGAATGACTCAGCCTGGCCAACCTTCACCTTCCTCCAGGATACACTTTCTTCTAACTTTCTAGACTTCAACACCCTGCCCCTTCATAGGTACCTTACTCTGCCTCTCCCCCACACTTTCCAGCTTCCTTTTATGTATTCTCTTCCTCCATTAGAATGTAACCTCTTTGAGGGCAAGAACTGTCTTTTCGCTTTTACTCTCATCCCCAGTGGTTATTACAATGTGAGTGAACAAAGTGAGTGTTTAGTAAATGTCTGTTGCTTTCCTTGACTTGTCTTGCCTTTTTTGCTACCTAAGTAGATGATTTAGTCTGGGTAAATCATTTAACCAATCTGGCCTTCAGTTTCCACATTGGTAAGTGAAAGGGTTGAATAAGATGATCCCTAAAGTCCCTCCCAATTCTTCTGTACACTATGCTAGAGAGTGTTAGGAAAGATATTACACCTGTGGACTTTATAGCTCAGATTTCTGTTGGACAGTCTTGAATTTCCTTTTCTTTGCCTGCTGATGTATTGGAAGGGAAATGTGACATAACTTATTGAGGTCACAAAATTTAAAGCAGGAAGGGAGCCTAGATGAAGAACATGAAACCTAGATAGTGAAATTCTTCCCCTCGCCCAGTGTCCTGAACTCCTTATGACATCTTCATCTGTTAGGCTTGATAATTCTCCTGGATTTACCAGGGATCTTCTTGAATCTCCTGGTGATGGGGTTGTTATCTAGGCCCCAGAAAGGAAAAACCCTGGACTTTCCCTCATGACCAAATCTCTGGCGGTCCCCTGAGGCTATAATCTCATCAACTGGTCTTTCATTGTGGACCTCCCTATGGCCCCTGGCCGTTTCTCCATTCTCCCTTGGCCTATGGTCCAGGTCCCTGGAATTCTATTACCTTGTAGACTACTTGGCCACTCCTGGATCCCTCCTACAGTCTTTCTGTATATAAGGACCATCTTGTCTCCATTAAAGTGCTTAGATTCTTATAATCTAGCCACTGCTTACCTATGTTTAGACTCTTTAAGAGTCTGCCCAATATGATGGATATTCTAATAAACCTTGCCTTTGGCTGATAGAAGGCTTGGGTCGAATTGTTTTGGGCAGGATCCGCGTGTTGTGATTTTGGGGTCCCAGCACCCCTGAACCCCTAAACCGCATCTCTGGGAGGCTCCTGACTTCCAGGTGGGGGCATTTTTCTCTTAAAACCTCAAGGAATAGACTAAAACAAGATGCTATAGCTCCCTTGAAGACTCTCCTGAAATTGTGCTCTAGGAGACTAGCCTTTGTTGGTCATTTCTGTGCTATCTCATGATACTGACATAGACATTTGCCCTTCTCTACTGTATTCTGGAGAGATGGTGTGCTGTAGTGAAAAGAACATTTGGAATCAGGATTACTTAGCTAGGTGGTGCTGTGTATAGAGTGCTGAGCCTGGGGTCAGGAAGACCTGAGTTTGAATCCAACCTCAATTCCAGCTATGTGATCCTGGGCAAGTCACTTTACTTTTTTTGTGGATCAGTTTCCTTTCCTATAAAATAGGGAAATGGCACTTATCTACCAGGGTGGTTGTTGAGGATAAACTGAGATAATAGTGGTAAAGTGCTTTGCAAACCTTAAAAACGCTTATGTAAATGCTACCTATTGTTACTACCATATTTACCCATCTGTCTATATATTATATCCACCTTGCCTCCCACCTCCCATGCAGCGTGAGCTCCTTGAGGACAGGGCCAGTTTCATTTCTGTCCTTGTATCACCACAGCCCAGCATAGGGCCTGGCGTTTGTAAGATTGAATTGATTTTTATTTCAACTCTGCCACCACCTGGGTAATCATAACCTCCCTAAACCTCAATTTTCTTCATATACAAAATGAGGGAGTTGGCCTAGATTTTATTGTTGTTCAGTCATTTTTCAGTTGTGTCTGACTCTTTTTGACCCCATTTGGGGTTTTCTTGGCAAAGATACCAGAGTGGTTTGCTATTTCCTTCTCCAGCTCATTTTGCAGATGAAGGAACTGAGGCAAACAGGGTTAAGTTGATGGGGTTGGGATCTGGGCCCCAGAAAGGAAAAACCTTGGACTTTCCCACATGGCCAAATCTCTGGTGTTTGCCTGTGGCTATAATCCCATCAACTGACCTTTCATTGTGGCTACACCCAATCTCCCCTCCATTGTCTTGCCTCCCAATGGCCCCAGGTCACTTCCCACCCTTGGTCCCACCTAGG